GCTGAACCTGGGACATCTTCTCAAGTTATTTCAAGGGACCACAGACCTAGAAGACAAAGTCATTCCACTCACCGGTCACTGTTATAAAAATGTTCATGCTAACCCTTTAACCCTAAGATCAAAATTTGAATTCTCATTTGTTTCCCCTATATTCATTTCCTACAGAAGTAGTGGGGAGAAGTTGATAAAATATCAAGCAAATTTATCTTGTGTTATCATGCCCGTAATTCTCATGGCCACTCTGTTTTACAAGGCACTGATATTACATGGAGAAATTTGATGCTGATCACTCTGACTTAGGGTTTAAGGGGTTAAAAGACCTACCTCCAATGAATATGGAACTGTTTATGTCTTTACAAGACATAAACTTTGACTGTAAATTTTATATTCATTTGGTGATACTCCCGTCATTTAGAAGAGGTTCGTAGCCTGTAAACAAGCCTTCTCTATTATCAACTCGTCTGTGCGGACACCTTGTATCACAGACACGCACATGGGAATTTTGACTGTAGCAGGGGGGTGTTACTAAAACGGGGAACGGGAAAATGAAAACTGGAGACAAAATGGAGAATTGTAAATGGATTTACTGGTGGGGCTAGAGTTCAAGTTGGTTTTGTTCCCACTTTTTATTTTCCATTTTCCGTGCTCATTTCCCGCTTTCCATTCCCCTCTCCCCATTCCCTGTTTCCCGTTCCCCGCTTCCCACTCCCTATTTTAGTAACATCTGTAGAGCGACTTTGGATAGCAACCCTCACTCGTCCTTTAAGTTACCAGTTAATTCAAAGAAGCACAAAAATCACCAAAACGTAATGTCAACCAAAAAGTTTCAGTTTGTTGTTGTTTCATTGTTTACCTGTTTATACAACAGGAAAAAAAAATTGATATTACAGTACAAACAAGGACTGTCGAATCATTTCAACCTTACATGCAAATGGCAGTTATAAGTGTTCAAAGCTAAACCAGTGGCAGTTTATAATCTTCAAGTAAGCGAGGGGTAGCTCAGATAGCAACCTTCACCCATCCCTTAAATTACCAGCTAAATCATCTGGGCCAGGTTGTTCAAAGCTGGATTAAGATAAGAATTTAGATACGAACGCTTAAGAAGCAAATTCAGTTTAATTCCTTTTGTCTACAATTTGATGATTGGATGCTCTGAAAAGAATACAGAAAATTATCCGAGAAAAAGAAATCCAAATTAAAATTTAACTCTGGGTTAGCACAAATCAGCCTTCGAACAACTGGGCCCTGAAGAACAAAAATCACTGCAAGTGGAGAAAAAAGGACTTAATCAAAAGTTTACTTCATGAAAAAAAAAAACACCTGCCCGTGGCATTTTAATCATTTCATGTGTACACTGTACCGGATACCTTGTTTGCAGTATAGCATGAACACCTCGAACTGGAAATGGAACACATTGCTCACACACATTCAACATCATGCTGGAGTGGTTGGCCGAGACAGTTTGGTGAAATAAATATAAGTCCCGGCTGCCACTTCTATTTTTTAACAGCCAGCTCAGTAGGCCCCAATCCTTGATCAGACTTTTTCACTTCCGCTACAGTCCGAATACCTCTTCACACTGTACCTGGTAAAGAGTGGCACAGAGGCCAGCTGTTGTTATGTGTGAACAGAAACCCTATATGTGGTATGACTAATATTAATAAATTCTACTGGCGCAAGAGCTATCCCGCATAGTGTGAACATAGCCTTTATGAGCACAACAACAATGCTGCACTGCACTTGCAGGCCATAAGGGCCATTTTTGGGATGCTTTGCAAAGAACGGATTTAGAGAAATGATAAAAATGCCACGCAAAGATTTTTACTATCATAAAGTGACACTTTTGGTTAAGTTTATTCTTTCCACTTGCACTGATTTTTGTGCTTCTAATTTCAATTAATATTTTAAAAAATTACAATATTTAATTTTACATATACTTAAATAAAAATATTCTGAACAAGTTAATCAAAAATAGTCATTAGGATCTTATATAAATAGCCACGGAAAGGAATAAAAATGCAAATTTTGATTTAGTTCAACATTGTTTTCCTATTGTTTCGATTGTTTTTGATCAATGAACTTATGAACTCCTCTAATTACTTAATCAATATACAATTCATAAAATATATTTCAGCTGGCTTTGATGTTCGTGACAAATTTTTATCAAAGTAACGTAGTTGCCCTATGATGTTGCAGTACTGTATGAATTTGTATATGGTCATGCAAATAAAGCTCGTTGTTGAGACATGCATGGAAACATGCTGGAAGACTTTCTAGGCAACACAAGCGTGTTTTACGACGAAAATTCGACAAAAGTAAAAAATGGCCAAAGTTTCTGAGAATAACTTAATTTAGGTGCTTTAACACTTTTCTTGAGAAGAAAAAAGTTACATGCAAATTCGTGCGGAATCGAGTAATAGAAGACCTGCTGGCGTTACTAACTGTTCACTGACTGTTCTCAGTCGCAGAGTTATATCGCTAACGTTCCGTCTCTAAATCGTTTTTATGCTGCCACGAAGAAAAAGTAGTACTCGCTATGATTCCCAAGGACTCGATCCTAGTGTCTCATCTGTATATTTTGCAGAGGGTGCCGACATTTCCGTGCGTATATAATGGAAGGACTATAAAGGTATAAGCTAATAAGAGAAGTTCGGAACTAACCACATAAATTATACAAGTGCCTGCTAGGAAACGTTAGCTCTACTCCGAGTAAGACTTCAGTTTTGTTACGAGTAACTCGTAACAAAACTGAAGTCTTACGGGCGGCAAAAGCTGACTAAGTGTGGTTGCACAACCCGCAAAAGGCTGTATAAAAGGGGAGAGAGACGCTGCAACATATAAAGACTCAACTCATGATCATGACTCACAGAACCACACGCGTCTGTAAGCTGTGTGCAGTACATGTACCTTTCTGTAGGAAAAAAAACGACTTATTTCTTTTCGTCACAAGAATTTAGATATTATTATAGTATGGCTATACTTCATCGAACGGTGTACTTACCCGTTGCGCCTTGCCGTTGGTTCTTCTTTATCATCGCTGCTACTTGGTGCGTTTTGGTGGTGGTTTACATGAGGATGTTTACACACGAATGTCACGCCACGTGACACGATTCACAAGGCAAGCGGCATAGCGTGCGTAGCGAGCGTTCCCGTTGGAGAAACTCTCGTTCCTTGTTCTTTGCTCCGAAGCAGCACGGAAACGCTTGCTACGCGGGCTAGGAGCAGCGCGAAGTATAAATAAATGAACCCAGAAGGCGTTGCGTCTCCTCCCGGTGGGTATCCCAATAAAAATAGCAATAATAGAAAAATAAAGAGCGCGCGGTGGACGATGCCCCGCGCGCCTTCTGTTTCTTTCTTCCCAGCCTCCCTACAACACAAAGAGGCTTCTGCGGAGGAGAGAGCTCCTGCGATGGAGACAACTTTTAAGTGGAGAGGGCTGGTCATTTCAGATATAATAATAATAAGAAGAACATTGTTATAGCGCCTATCCAGAAATAGATCTAGGTGCTTAACAAAGCGAAAAAATTAGAATAAAAAATTGATTAAAATAAGAAAAATGGGTACCATGAACTCCAACAATATGTTTAACTTTGAACTGGCGAATGAAATGTGAACTTTCTTTGTCCAGAAAATCGAGACAATTGGTTCCAAGCTCGATAACATGGTACAGGGGCTACCATCCCTTACTGATGACCACACCCCAGTATCACCTCCCCCGCTGAGCAAATTCAACCTCCTTTCAGAGGAGGAGGCTCGCTAACTTAACAGCAGCAGTGCAAAGGAAAGTTGCACTTTGGGCCCTATGGCGACATCCCTAGTGATGGATTGTATTGACGTGCTTTTACCGATCATAACGAAAATGATTAATTTATCACTAGAGTCTGGGTTGTTCGCTGATGACTAGAAGTGTGCGCTCGTACCTTCACTATTGAAGAAGCTTGGGTTAGACCTCCTAGGAACTGCAGACCTGTCAGTAACTTGCAATATATCTCCAAGCTGACTAAGAAGGCGGTGTTTGAACGAATACACAACCATATGATAAATCATTCACTATATATATACCCCGAGGTTCAGTCATCATATCGTCAAGATCATAGCACGGAAATGGCCCTTGTCATAGTCATGAAAGATACTCTCATGAAAATAAACACTCAAGAGGTGACTTTGCTGGTCATACTTGATCTCAGCGTCGCTTTTGATACAGTCAATTACAACATCCTACTAACATGTCTGGATAAGGAGTTTGGGATATGCAGAGTTGCCTTGGAATGGTTCAAGTCATACTCGGCCAATAACAGAGGTCAGCGGATCTCCATCAATGGATCCCTCCGTAGTGCTTAAATTTGAACCGTTGTGTTCCACAAGGGTCATGTCTGGCACCCCTTTTATTCATCATCTATGCATCCAAACTATTTAGGGCGGTTGAGGATCAGCTTTCACACAAACGTTGCTACGCGTACGACACGCAGATATATCTTGAGTTTTAAGCCTAGCAACAGTACATCAGAGGAGGATGCAATGCGAGTGATGGAATGTTGCATTAAGAAGATCTAGCGCTGGCAGATCCAGGACAGGCTCCTTGTTAATGACGATAAGACTGAGTTTAGGATTATCGGAACTCGGCAGCAGTTTCGCAAATTGCAGGCTATTAACATCAAAGTAGGTAGCTCAGAGAAAAAAAAAACCAAAAGTTGTCTGTTTCAAAAATGTGATGGAGAGAAGCCGTGCCAGGCATGGGTCTAGGTTCCCGATGGCACTTGCCCTTTTGGGAATCTGCAATAGTTCCAGCTATCTTTGGTGAAGACACCGTTTTTGTTTCGCTAGTATATTGTTTGTGGCACTATAACATTCAGTCAGGTATATCAGATATTTCGAAGGGCAGGTTCTATCAAAAAACACTTTCATGCCTTTTTTTATCTGAGTTTCCCCTAAAGTCAAAGAGACCTGCTGTTTACATTAAAAAATTGTTTATTTAAGAAACAATATAAATTTGCTAAATTTCAAGATACAAAGAGAATTATTTCATTCTAAACTGAGATGTAAGTTTTGTCACATAAAAAGTATTTCTTGCTGGCTGCAAGTGTCAAAGGTATTCTTTGATCCACTTTCGAGCTGACTCAATGTCCTTGTCAACCTTTTCCTTGGTATCCTTGTCAAAGGATGGAAGAGAGCTGCAAAAAAAATAAAAGAGAAAATACGCGAATCATCTTGTGCCCGGCACTTCTCTGAAAGGCGAAAACATTATTATGAATTACACTACATGTAAGGAAAATAGCCTTAAATATAAAAACCACTTTGAACAGCAAACCAAAAGTAAAACAATGAGAAAAAACAATCATGGTTTCCTCATGTTTGCACACATGACACATGTTGTTAAAGAGGCTTTATAAAATTGAGACAGATCCTGAGTTACTGGTATTCCATGATGATTATTATCACAATACAGCGACCGCTGTTTATTAAATAAGGGCCGTCAAACATTTCCAGCTACAGTGGAACCTCAATTTAACGAAGAGCCACGGGACTGGGGAAATCTGTTCGTTAAATCGAGGGTTCGTTACATCGAACACCTCCATTTAACGAATTTTCGGGAAAACTACCAAAATGTTCGTTAAAAGAGAGGTGGGGTTACTACCTTTCTTCCCCTAAAAGGGGGGGGCTTATTACACAGGAGGGCTTGAAAGAGGATTTATGGTATGTTGCTGTTTCAAGGCCGTGTCGCCTGTCAGAATTGCACCCTGACAGACAGGGCCTTACAGTGGAAAAGTGTACTAGTTTAGACTGAGGTTAAAACAAGGGTGAAAGCTAGTTCTAACATCTCTGGATCTCGTAGAACTTAAAGTATTTTAACCTAACTTAGATTGCGTTTTACTGCATCAGCGGACCTTGAGATCTTTTCTTAACTTGGTCGGTTTCAGAGAATAATTTTGCTCCTTCTCAATTTACACCTGGCCTTTGTTTATGATTAACATTGTTGTGTACAGCTAGCCTATGAAAATGAGTTACATAATAGCAGTACCGTCTGCTAGCTGGGATAAAAAAGGTGTACGTAGTAGAAAGGAGACCATTTTAGTGAGGGAACATTGGTGCGGGTTCAACTGTGATACAATAATGGGAAAAGCAGCCACATAATTTATCAATGCATTCCTTGGATCTATTTTTTACATGCAAGCTTAAACTCTCCCATTGTAAACCAAACTTACTTGTAAATGGCTGAGCTCACAACATCAACAACTCCACCTGCAAGGAAAAGAGAAAAGTTACTTCCAAAGTTATAACTAAAAACAATGTAACCCTGTTGAAAAAACCTTTGTTTGGCCAAAAACATGTGGTTATACTGATAAGATGGCTGTGTGAGCTTTTTGGAAAGAAAATGACTGGGTGTTTTAATTTTGCGTCAATATATAAAAGATGGTTGTAAGCTGCTTGAAAGTAGCATCTAAGGCTATCTTCACACTATACTGGAAATGTTTTGCGGCGGCATGAAAACCATTTTGGATTTAGGGCTCCCGTTCACAGATAAGAATGGTGATTGCTGTACAATTTCTGTAATCAAATGGACCGGAGCGAAGCTGTTATGCACCAACCTTTTAAGTGGAGAGTCATACATGTATAATCATAAAAAGTGACGAAACGCCCCCCAAAACCTGTCCACTGACAGTCAGACAACTGTTGACTGATTTTACCCACATAGTGGATTAGGTATTCATACTACAATCATATACACGTTTACTGGATAGCTTTTTGTGTTGGCATGAAAAGCTATTTTTATTTTGGTATAGTGTGAATTAACATAACCTAAGAGCAGTTTTTAGGCATCTCACTTCAATTCCACATGACTTGATTTTTGGAGAAGTATCAATCCCTCTCTCCAGGTCTGAGATCCAAAATGTGAAACCATGACTCATGCTTTCTCTTTAGGTGAATCTTTGTTTAGATTTTTTGCCTCATTAACATTCTGTCAGCCATTTTCTTCCCCTCCCCCTTCCCCCTAGGCTTTGTTGGTTTTTCTCCACTGATGTTTTTCAGTGTGGCGGGTGCCTGTTCCTTTCCTTTTGTGTGTTGGCTCATGGCTGGGTTGCGCTGTTGTGCCAGTCATTGGGGCACTATTTCAATCTAGGGACTGGCTGCCAATAGTGGAAGCCCCTGGATACTCCAGGCACCCAACCTCCATTTTAGCGATGCAGTTGTTAGCATATGCTCATCATTATCTGACGAAGCTAATAAAATAAAACCCCTGAATACTGAAAGAGCATAACAATTTCAGTTGTCTCTGAAAATTTGAGCCCGATATACCAAATGGTTTCGGAGAAATTCTCTTTTAGAAACTCGAAATTCTACAAAGAATGTATGGCTCATTAACTTTTTTGCCACCCAGCAATTTGGCAGTTTTAGATGGCCGATATTTCTTTCAATATTGCTTTTAATGAACTGAAAATTGCACGAGTTGTTTAAGTTAATCAGCTCAAACATACGGCCATGGCTTCTTTGAGTTAAGTCGGTATGTTAATGAGGAAAAATGAAACAATGACGTCAGCAAAGATTCGTCTATACCTTGCCTCTACACTCTACATGTAGTTTTACATGCACAGCTGTAGCTTATTGTGTCCAATTTCCATTTTGATTTCATATATATTTCAGAGGGAATCAGAAAGCCTGAAATCTACACTCTGCCAGTACCATGTTAACAGTTATTAGTGGCAACTAACCTGGAACGCAGACTACATCACACAAACTGCACAGGTTGCAATATTTACAGTACTGCAACATAAAATGAGAAAAATACCTTGGGTTATAATCAAACTACTTGTATCCCATATAGGTTTGTCTCAGCAACATGTGGATCACTTAATCTCTTGAAAATGATTTGTGATTCTGATTGTGTGGATAACAGCTGAGTGAATCGTACATAATTTATGTACAGTAAAGTAAAGTTACAAGTCTTGTCTCGTTCCTTGCGAGACAAGACAGTGAGTAATCTTTAGAGACAAGAGTTCTTTCTCGTGAGAATCACTGAAGTGGTAATTATTATAATAGGTGAAGCTTGATTTCTCAATGGCTGAGAAACGAAATGGCAACAAGACAACAAAAAAAAAGTCATAATAAGTCATAGCTAAGTCATAATCTTAGCAATTCAAATTTTTAAAATTTTGTATTTTAATGAATTTTTCTGCTACATGTGGAATATCTGTAAACTAGCCGTATGGCTAAACATATTTACCAAAAAAAATAAAGTGTCTATGTCTATGTCTACCAGTATGTCTATAAATTCAAAGTGCTGTCTTGACCAAGCTGGCAAAGACTAACAGTCTGGAACTTAGTATTTCTCTATTGACAAACAGTTTTAAAGCTCATTAGAACTATAGTACATGTATTTGGGCAAGTTTCAAAGTCAGCAGAAATCTGAGGCCAAAAATTATTTGCTTGAGTCAAGATGATGTTGTCCGCTCACAACCAAAGTAACAGAAAACTGACGTGCCAGGCTGATATGATTAATTCTCAATAATTTTAATTTCAGTGACTCTTCATTTGTGAGTTTTTTCTTCACATTGATTTGCAAGCATATTCAATAAGTAGTAAATTTTACTTCATTTTCAACATCTTAGTAGTTTAAAGGACAAAAATCAAACTTACCTTGCACAAATGACAATTTGGCTTCTTCTTACTGGTTTCACATGGGCAATCCTTGTCACACAATTCACAAAACTAAAAGACAGATCAACATGATCTCAGGATGTAAAATCTAAATGTGTATTGCTATTCTCTTGTTTTTTAGTTAATGGAATGATTAAAAACTAAAATATTCTATATTTTATATTACCGCTAGACATTTTTGGCTTTATGACCATGAGTGGAACGCTAGAAGTGAGATCAGTCTACAATCAACAAGTTGTGAGAAGAAATAACTTGGCATAAAAGACAGAAATCTGCTCACAGACTTGTTTGCAGTCTAGCTGTATAATAACAGTCAGTCATCAGGCAATGCCAGAATAACATTTGCCCAATATGTCTAAAACAAAAAGCCTCTTTGCAGCTGGACACAATGCCTGGACAGACCATAAAACAACAATAATTACCAGGGTTCTCAGTTTAAGGCTGAAAATGTGCATACAGCATTTGCTTGAATAGGGCTGCCTCCACCCTCTAATAAGTACCCTTCCCCAAATATGAAGCACCCACGTCCCTTAGGCCATAATATCAAACAATCACCCCTCCCCACCTATGCTCCCCATTACTTTCTTAAATACAGGGCTTCTGATTGGTCGCGGAAAAAAAGTCAAATTTCGCAGGATTTTTAGGGACAAAATCGCGGAAAAATCAACTGATTTCACGGGAATTTCGTGGGAACTTTTGGGGCAAACTTGGCCGGAAAAAAATCGGTAAAAAAACGGCGGCTTTTGTGGTTATTTTCAGGGCAAATTTCGCTAGAAATTGATCGGTTTTGCGCTGATCAGACCAGCGTTTTAATGTTTTTCTAACAAAGGTCATCATTTGCTCTTTCAACAACAACACGCTCCAGAAATGAGCCAATGGCAAAGCCTTTAACATCATGGCTAGTGCCCAGTTTTTCGCAACAAAATCTACGCCTGGTAGTTTCGGAACGTTGTTTGCACGTTTCAGTGACAAAGTTTTGACATAAATTTGCGAGTTTACGGCAAGTAAATACCCCCAGTAGCTGAGACAAGTTTCAAAATTGCTTTACAGCCATGTATTTGATAAGATTTCTACCGAATTTCGCGGTATTTTGCGTGTTTTTGTGAATTTCACGGGATTTCGCGGATTTACCTGAATTTTGCGGCTCTGCAACCGTGTGAAATATCAGAAGCCCTGTAAATAGTAGGGATACAAGAGGGATGCAATCATGTACATAAATAACCATTGATTAGGATGAAAATGAGGATGATGACACAACCAATAACTTATAAACATGTATACTGATAAATTAGTTTAACATAGTCTATATAAAGGGACTTTGGTATGCTTGACAACCAGTACCATTTAATGAATGAAAGACATTCAACTATCAACTTTAGGTTTCCCTGTATGTTGTAGTTTTTGTGTGCATTTTAATTTTTTTCATGTTTTTAAAAAGATTAATTTAGCTAAAACAAAATTACAGTCCGTTGAATGGAAAACTCAATAAGCTCCCCCAAGATTAAGTACCCTCTTTCCAATAAATGCCCTCCTATCAGCTGAAAAATTAAATAAAAGCCTGGGTGCTAATTTGAGAACATGCTGCAACGTTATTATTGGGCTGCATGGTGGTAAGGCCAGATAAAAATGGAGACCCTTGTCTGTGCAGCAAAAGGACAACAACTTCAACTGACAGTATATAGCTATTTTGAGAAGGGTTGGCGAAAAACAGGCACACAACAATCCCGAAAGGTATTGTGGGTGGTTTTGAGGATAATATCCAACTATCCCCCGAAGGGGAGGGGTGAATAGAGACTGATTTGGTGAATACTAAGAAAACTATACCCTCAAGCCGGAAAAAAGTCTGATTATAATCTATACTTCCAAAAATATTAAACCTCTGCATCATGCAGTGGCAGCCCAATGAACCCCCCATTTGGCGGTCTTGTTTGAAGAGGTTTTAAACCCTGCAATAAAAGATCATGGACATTATGCACGCACTGACAGCATTTCCGGTTTGTCTGTCTGAGGTTCTGATGATGATACTTTTTTCCGCCCAGATTAGCAAATTATACTCTCAATTCCAGGAGTGTTTTAGTCTCCAGAAATGAGGCGGTAAGAAACAGTGACCTTGATCCACTCATGGCGCTTTAAGCCTATAAAGATCTTTTCCTCAAAAATTCCATTAGTTTTTCACGCAAGCACAACTATCCAAAAAAATGGGGGGAAGCCAACCAAAACATCATAAAACAGCAAAGATCCTTGGGTAAAAGGGTAAAAATTGGCCATTGAAGTCTTGAGTGCCAATAAAAACAAATGAACTTTTTAAAAATTAAAAATAAACCCGTTAACTGAAAGCGGAAATTTGATCTGCCTGTCGCGTGAGCATGCATGTACACAGTCTTGCGAATCGAAGTGTCGATCAAACAGAACATTTCAGCGATAGCTATAAAAATGAAAGTCTTCTATTTGGTTGGTTTATACCTTGCAATAAGTGCAGTAATTACACAGCGATCCCAGTGCGTATTTTTTCTCTTCTCCTTCAGTGTTCTCCGTTGTCGTAGCTGCCTCGGACTCGACTTGCATTGCGTCGTTTGATGTAGGGGCCTCCGTGGATACTTCTGGCTCTTGCACAGGTTTCTCTTCCGAATTTTCGGTACCTTGTGCTATCTGCACAAGTACTACGAGGCTAAGAAAGCTATAGAAAGTAAAAAGTCTCATTATTATTCGGTTACTGGAATATATGAAAACTGCGACGGCTGTAATGAATGATTGTTACACTAGGTACTTACCCTCTACAGCTAACAGCCGCTGCTCGAAAAATGTGGTTTTTTTGCAGCTCGGATCTCGTTACCTCTCCCGACTCCTCTCCCCCGACAGTGAAGAAACTCAGAAAAGGGAAAAATAGAAAAAAGCCCCGAGTGGACACTTTTTCGCGAACGCAGAGATCATTTCAAGGTCTTGAAAACCCCTTTGCTGTGTTAACTAAGAGCGAAAATTCATTTTTTCTGGTAGAAAGTTGTTCTGCACCTTCCCTGCCCTACCCATCCCTACCAGACTATCGCCGTTTTTGCCTCTGCCATATTTGGTAAAGATATTTTACCACTTCCTGCTATTCCACCTAGAGCGTCGGTTTCATATAGCTCATGAACTTGCGATGTAGAAGGTCCAGAAACATTTATATTAAGCTAGAAAATAATCAAGACATTGTGCTAGCTAAAGCCTGCGAGCAGGCTCCAGTTTAACGCTCTTTCTCGAGTTTTCACTGGTGTGCAAACCTTGTGATAAGGTACAAAGGTAGGTAAATACTGTTTCTAAACGTAATGAGATTTCCACCTCAGTGCGCTATTTTAATTGCTCTCTTTTGCAAAAAGATAGGAGACGTTGAACTTACGGTTGACAAATTTAGCTCAACATGCATGATCTACACTTCATTCCTAGGGGATCATATCATACCATAACTATAGCACATTTGAAACGCAAGTTTACTTACATTTTATACCATATTTACTTTAATACTACAGTGGAACCCTTCCTTACGACCACCCCGTTTATACGACCATCTCGTTTTTTCAACAATCTTCTTTTGACCCAAACGTAAAAATCACAGACTAGAGCAGGGGCACCCAACGACAGTTGTCTGTGAAATAGACATATAGATTTAGCGAGGGCTAAAAGCGAAGCTCTCATATATAATCGTGTTAAGTGGCCAAGGCAACGAGAACGGTGAAAAAACAACAATAGGTCTAATTAGCAAAGAAGTAACTTTACACGTACAGTACACTCAAAAAATTTGCTGAGCACCTACTTTGATAGTGCTACTTTATGTTGTACTCCTTTTTTGAATCCCCCATAATGCACTCTGATGTCCCCCCGCCAACTTTGCATTATCTATTGTTTTGAAATGCTCCTGGGATCGAGGACTGCATATCGCGAAAATCATTTAAAAACAAGAACTTATGCAAAATTTTGAGGGGCAAAAACACCTTAAAAGCAGGTACATGTAGCCTGGAATTAAGGTGTGTGATACTTGTATACTGAGGGTTTGAATGCCACCATGCATTTGCAACAGCTGGCACAAACTTTGCATTAAGGCATACCACTGCAATATCCAGTTGATTAAACTTCATCTTTGTCACTTATTTGCATCTTAAAAATTGGGAACTTTCTCAATGCAAGTTTCCTAAAGTGGTTAACTTAAATTCCACCTTCCAAACAAACTGTCATGTTGCAATTAGAACTTGCCCCTGAGTTGTCACTCAAAATTTGGAAAGATTAATGATGCATAATACAATGTATGTGTATGGTAAATGCCATTCCCTGTTCTACAGTGCAAGCCGACTGCTGTGACCAGTACCACCCAGACAAAGTTGACCAGTTGGATTACAAAAAAATAACAGTATTACTACATTCCAAGAAAGTTCAGGTAGTGGACCAATCAGCAGCTTGTATTGGGAAATTCTGGAAACACGTCATTGACCGGTCAGAATTAGATTCCATCCTCCAGAACCATCTTTCCCTCTTAGCTACAAGACCAGTGTGCAAAGAAAGTAGTGTCCAATAGCCAGGGACTAGTGGATTTTGCTGTCGGGCTAGTAAATTCTGTTCTTAACTTGCCCGATCGGCAAGTGAGGTTTTTGGGGGAATTCAAATTACGGAAGAATTGTAATCAATCTTGCTCATCAAAGTTTTTTTCAGGCAGGTTGAAATGACTTTTGGGCTAGTATGTTAGCTACAACTTGCCCGAAAGGCAAGCTGTAAAACTGACTTTCTTTACACCCTGATGACTTACGTGAATTTTCCAAGTCTCTGCAAATTTTCTACTCCTCTAATCCTTTTTTAAGTCTATTAGTCCCTTCAATTATTTTTAGAGTACGGCATTAGCGGGATTCGAACCCGTGATCCTAGAAACCAAAATTCATCAACTATACCACTACACCACTATTCGTCTTGCATTATTTATAGTGACAAACCTAATAGTAAATGAAAGCTAAGCATTTTGAGTCAGTGCTTAACCCTAACTGCACAGTTTCACATTCTTCATGAAGTTTAAAATGTCATAATCTCTAAGAGCATAGAAAAAAAAAAAAGATTACATGCTGAACATTAGAAGACCTGTTTCAAAATAAACGTCATATCTAAGGTGGGGGCAGATGTAGTGAGAACTACTGTATTGATAGTAAAATATTGATAGCAAAACTTTTCATTAGTCAATGTTTTTCTGTCTCAAACTTTACATATAACTCCTAGGAGACATATTTGTTTGACAGAAGCAGTTATTTTGTCATCTAACAAAAATTTTGTCGTTAACATTGCCACATTTTGCAATAACATGCGACCTCCAGTCAAAAACATAAACAATGTTTACATTTTTCACCACCATCAATCACTCTAATGGACCTCTCAGGAAACACAAGCTTTCTTTAGCAGGTTCAAAAGGTCACATCTTTAGTTTGTTTTGGTTGATGTATTTTTTATCCATTTTACAAGTCCATTTTTCTTATTTATATTTCCTGGTTAAATATGATCTGACAACCAGTCCATTCAATTTTTCAGAATGTAGTGTTATTTTCTTGAAAATATCTGATTGGACAACTTTGTGTAGGTCACCCCAGTGACGGCATGAAGTTGCACTGTAATAAGAACAATATTTCCTTTCATTATGATAACATTTGCTTGTACATTCCAAAATAAATGCACACAAAATGCATGCAAGAATTTTGCTTAAACGCATGTTGAGGTGCATTTGCCACATATGTGCATGCTTTTTTTTTATTATCCATTCCCTTAAATTTTTTTTGTTCTTTTTTCCTACAGCACGACAGATTCGGCAAAAACAGCAGGTATGTGAAATGCTGCCATCAAGGAAACTTCTTAGTACCAAGTACATGATCTGAAGAAGGCAGCATTAAAAAAGCTCACTTAACAGGTACATTGCTCTATTTTCAGTCTTCTCAGATTTGATATTAATTGTTTCAACATTATTTTGCTGGATGTTATTCACATCGCAGTTCATGGGTAATAGATAATTTCTATGGATTATCTTTTGACACAGCTTATTCATCAACAACCTTTGTGCATAGACATTATTTTTGTCAGTCTGGAATTGTTTTTTTTGTTGTTGTTGTTGTTTTTTTTCTAGATATTATTTAGAAACCATTTAGGTCACCATCTCTAGAGAAGTCATCATGAAACGTATAAAGAGAGGGTTGCAGCGGAAGGTTGCGGCTGCAGCAGACTCAGATGGACAAGGTAATTTCACAGTTTGATATAAAAACAATAGTGGAGCTCTTGTGCAATGCGTGAAGCACTTGCAGTGGAGCATCATGGGTAAGAAAAAATGGTAACCTTTAGATGCAAGAAATTTTGGTAATCACATGACTGTCCATCCTTCTGTCTGCCCCTATGTGTAAGCCATTGTGACGTTTCTCATCCTATCACCTGTGTGTTTTGGCAGTAAATAGAATGGCCATCCAGACTTTCTAGAGAGAAAAAGAAAACAAAGCCGAATCTTTTTTCGACAAAATTTTAATTATGTCCATTCTTAGGGGGATAACAGAGAAAGAGCTAAAGCGAGAGATACAAAACAAAGGAGATGTTTTTCTTTATAAGAAGAACATGAAAATTTTATAGTGGCAGTGACAAATTCAGAATGAGAAATGCTGGCTAGCGACTAGCAGGGTAAAAATGAGTGGCAGTGAAGAGAGAAACAAACTGGAACACGAGCACCAAAATCTTTTTTGAGCACATACAACATTTTATCCATAAAATGTGTATTAACTAGGAAGTTTGTCAAGTTTCACAAAAATTTACAAAAAGCATGATTGCACATGCAAAGTTGTTTTATTGCTAATTAGACCTTTTGATTTTTAATAAATTAGACAGTTCTACATGCAGTGTGCCTTCTGCAATAACATTTTACACGCTTGAAATTTTTAGGCTAGAATTTCCTTGCATATTTGTAGTCAAACTAATATTAACAGATTTGAAAGATTTCTTCACAGTGGGTTCAAGTGTATATACGAGAGCTTCACTGTTAGCATTGGCTAAATCTATACAATATTAACCAGAGGTAATCATTGATTACGGATCCGCGTTCGTCACTTACGGAAACGAAATTGAGTTGAAAGGCCGAGATGCCCCTGATGATATTAATACGGGCAGCTAATCAGCAGTCGCCCATGATAGCTTGAAAATTTCTGCCTTTGTGCTACAGGAACACCAGATTGGGATGCATTCTGATGAACGCGATTAAGTGTCCCCGTCCCATTAGAATATGCCCCAACTCACCTAGCTAATGCATTAAATTTTTTTACAAATACATGATAAATATTTCATTATTATAGTATACAGTACATACATGAAACAATAAGCTAACACTTTAATGGGACATGCATCAGCATCCTTTGTGAACCTGCAAATTGGGACCTGCGATTTTACGGCCAACACTTATCAATAGGTGCTATATATTCTGTAATGAATTCTGAAAAACAGAACAGTGCACACCCCAACCACCCAAAGTATTAATTAGCATGCCAGATGCTAATTAAAGGATTTACATGTACATGTACATATTATCTCATATTGTGCCAGTACATGTATCAAGATTTTTGATGGAGCAAGGGTGGACTGGTGCAGTGGTGAGAGCATTTCTCTCCCACCAGTGTAACCTGGGTTCAATTATCCCTTGTTTGAATGCTGCTTAGACATGCATGGGTTAAAATTGTTGTTGTTGGCTCTCTGCCTAATTACAATGGGAGTTTTTTTTAGCATACCCCGGTTTTTGCTTGGACTAAAAAACTAATACTTCAAACTTGCAATTTTACTTGGAACACATGAACACTAATTTCAAATCAGTTCTTCCTAGCAACTTAAGTCTTTTGTTGGTGAGCAAATTACATTTACACTTATTAATTACATAATTTTTATTATTTTCATTGCTTATATATAATTTATATACACATTTATTACCATGTGCCAGAGTGATGTGCTCATCTACTATAAGAATGCTCAATACTCAGCTGTTGAACTAGAGCAGAATACAAGTACCATAAATGATCGATTAAGCGCCACTACTCGAATAAGCGCTGCATCTTTACTGAAAATAATTTAAAAAGCGCCACTCTCGAGTCAGTACCGCAGCACTAATTTGGGAATCTACAAATTAACACCCCACCTTTGTTACAGCGCTTGATATAAAGAGATATCAAAAACATATCACCATATAAGACCTCAACCAACTTGAGAGTTTTAAAGTTTTAATATAGGCTCTTGAAACTGGATTCATATAACAGTTCGAGGTGCACATATTTTGTATAATTTAAATTGTGCATACTTAGTACGCACCTCACTTAATTCGCTCTATATAGCTCTCGGTGTTTTACCTGTAGCTGAAATAAGCGCCGCAAGCGAATAGGCGTTGCTCTTGTATATTTCAGTGATTCGATAAGTTTTTAAGAACGACTATACACCAATAATTATAACAGGGAAAGTGAAATAAGCACCGCAGCACTTAATTGATCATTTACGGTAGACTGAGATGGATCTGGAATAAATCTTGAACATTTATTGTTTTAAATGTTCAAGATTTAATCCATCCGTCTACTTGTATATTTATTATAATTTTTTTTATGCACTGCTGGTTAGGATCCAAGACATTAAAATCTTCACAGGATACAGCTAGCACATCTCAGGGCAGTGATAAGAAATATACAGCCCAGCATACTACCAGTCTCCAATCATCTTCAAAGAACCCTATTGAGGACCCTCCTGAGCTTAATAAAGTTCTTCCATCCTTGGTTGATATTAAGGCAATTACCAAACCATCAAAAGATGCTGATCTTCCTGTTGATGTTTTGTTACTTAC